CATGGTGTAAGTCCAACAGATCTAGAAATAGGAGACTGAGAAGTCCAACATCGTGAACCCTGAGACCAAACTAACCAAAAGGGGACTTGAACTTCCTTGCCAGAAATCCGGATCCCTTCTTCTTCCTGGATTACGCCATCACCTCTGACTGATGACCTAGTTCTTCGGATGACAATTGGATCTCGTAGCTCTGCTTCAAATGCGAGGGGGATGGGGATGAAGAAGAAGAGCAAGGCCAAGGGCATCTTATAGTGGCGAACGAAGGTGGGGCGTAGTGCACCGAAAGTGGAGACGGCGTGGATGGGAGACACTGACGGTTCATGCTATGGGAATAAAGTTGGCCATGGTGCGCTCCCTGCGTGAGCGAGCGGAGGTAGGATAAGGGAGGGGAAGGGGATTCGATTGGCGGGAAAGGCGTGCGGTCAACCGTGTCCCCAAAAGAAGAAAAAGGGGAGGGGAAGGGGTCCAGTACAGGGACGAGGGCGTGGGATCGAGAGCCTATAGGAGGGGAAGCGCACAGTACATAAGGACGACGAGTGCAGCATGATGCTGCGGCCACGCGAGAACATGCTACTAATGGGCCCAACACAGACAGCATCCGTAGGGCACGCGGTAATAGTGACCGGCGTATGCGGTATGGTCGAGCTGGGCACAGTGCTTGTGATATGACGTCCACTTAGGCTTTTCTAATCACTCCCTACTACTCGAAGACTAACTTTTTCCTTGTTGGTCTTCTTTTTCCTTCCCTTCCTTGTTCACCATATGCGCCAACCTTTGTATGAACTGAGATTGCGACATACATGCTTCTTCCAAAACCACACTCTTGTTTACTTTGAGGAACACTATTTCATCAACCCATTATGGATTTCTCGTTTGAACACCCGAATATTTCCAAGAAGAATATTTGTATAAAAAGCGGTATGGCGGTGTAACTTGGTAACGGTACTTGGTCAACAACCTCGATACCAGTGCGTGCAGAGCAGCGTCACCATGTGGCAGCTGTTCCACAGGGGCCCTCGGTTTCATCGTGGCACCATAAGCTATTAACTAGGCCACTTTACCAACTTACTCGCAGTGAAAAATAGTGGGGTCATAGACCACAGAAATAAAGAAGTATTGCAAAGGAAGATTCAAATAACAAGGGTTCCTTTCGCAACAAAGGACAAGGAATTCAAATCCAACAACGTATTTGATTTAAAAAGATTCAAGTGTTCTGATGGGACATCTATAATTAGTCGATACAGTGGTCTATGTTATCCAATCATCGGCTGGTCTGCTAGCATCTGAATGGTAACTTCTCTTGTAACCCACTTAACATTGTCTTTGAAAACCGTAAGCATGTCTAACGAGACTTAAGGGTAGATGGATGCAATAAACATAGCAAAATAAATAAAATGCACATTCCAATGGCCTCATACTGGTACAACATACAGGCACTCACTCTCCCATTCTCAACACATCATTCACCTTTCCTGTGATCGGACGATCTCAACAACTACGGACGAAATACAACGAAAAGATTACAATATTGGAGGACAGCGACAAAAGAAATCTACTAACTATGGGTACATCTTTAAAGGCAACTAATCTATTTTGTCGGACCACACATCTTCATTCTCGGGCTCGGTGGATTCTTTTACCGCCCTGGCTAAGGATCTGCCTCCTCTCTTGGCAGTGGTTGAGTGAGGGGATGCAGGGGTTCTACTTCTGACACTTCTGAGGGTGGGGCTACGGGTGGTACTGCAACACTAGTCCTTTTTGGTGGGTGGATAGGGATTCCCTCCACGATCAAGGGATCCTACCGTTTAGCAGCTAGCATCCTCCGCTTGGCCCTGGTGACAAGGTAGGCCTCTCCCAACTGATGGGCATGTCGATCTTTAGCCTCCTTTAGGGCTTCCGACATGGCAGTGTTCTGACTCTCTGCGGCTGCCGCACTAGCAAGCACTTCAGCAAGCTGCACCTAGAGCATCCTAGAGACGATCTCAGCTTCCTCGGCTCACCGGAGGCACTTCCTTATCTCCGAGGATTGCTGGTCATACTGCTCATCCAGAGCAAGCAGGTACATGGTGAAGTGCACCACAGTTCGACTGTCTTCTTGCGTATCCCGCCCTTGCAAAGCCTCCATACGAGCCCTCCATGCCCGTCAATTCTTTTCCAAAGGAGGAAAGAACCTCATGGGGGTATGAGCAATGGGCTCTTCATAGATCTAGCAAAGGTACTATAAGGCTTTGCGGGCCACAACTTGGTAGGTATCGATGAAGCGAAACCCAGTTGCGGTCATATTCTAGGCTTCAGTGATGCCGGGGAACTCTTCACTCTTCCCAATGTAGATGTGGGCCAGGCACACCAAGCGTTCTGTCCATCCGAACGGATGCCTGCTTCTTAACTGTTGGGCTACGACCCTCAACTTTCGCACCCCCTACTGGTGAAAGGGGGAGCAGTTAACGCCCGATGCCTTTTGCATCCCCATGAGGGCAAAAGGGAGCGCTCGGTAGCCTCGGGCACCCTTGCGCGATATGAGAACGTGCTTGTTGGGACAGGGTTTTTGCCCTATCGGACGAAAACATGCCCATCGGCCGAGGCGCTCGGGGTCGATCGAATGCTTTCACGAAATGATCTTCTCTAGTGTTGTAGGGACTCTTCGCCCTTTCATCACTGAGGAAAAGACCACGGTGGGCCAGGCTGGCTATAGCTGGCCAATGGAAGGGCCATTGGCCCGCGACAAGGGTGGTTGAGGCTAGAAGGAAAAGACCGGATTGCCCTCAGTGAAATGGAATATTCCTGTGTATCAGGGTAGTTGTGAGGACAGCTGTGTCCAATGAAAGTGCTACGGCCATGTATAAATAGTGCCCCCGCTGGGGTTGTAAGGCAGACAACCCTAATTCCGATGAATGAAATCAAGTTAGGCCGCCTTCTGCGGTTTTTTGCCAGATCATTCTTTGGGGTTTCGACACTTGTTCGGGTAACAACCTAGGGTTCTAAGGTTACGACCTAGAACAACATTGGCGCCTACCGTGGTTGTTGCTCAAGATTATCATGCCAATGAAGAACAAAGCACCAAAGCCACCAGCGGACAGGGTTGAACCATCCAAGGCGACAGCCGTCACAGCCACAGAAACAACCGCGCGAGATGGCATGATAGCGGCAGCAGCAGTAGAGCCGCTAGCACCCTAGGCAGCAGGAGACAACACGGTACCTTGTCTCGGACAAGAGGAGACGCTCGAAGGTATAGTTCTGGAAGTCCAGATCGATCAAGATGGAAATGAAGTATCGGAGGAAGACGAAGCCGGCGAAGTCCCTGAGCAAGCTAGAGGCCTAAGGAAGCTCAATCAATACCAGCAAGATATCATCAGATTACATCGCAAAAGGGACCTATTGGTACAGCAAGCCATGGCAAGAAACATGGCCGAGTAGACTCAGCGAGCAGTCAGATAGGCCAAATGCGAAAGAGAAAGATTGGTGAAGGAAATTCAGAGACTGCAGAGGGTAGGAGCGGCAGGCATCGTCCAGCCAGGCGGAAACGTTGTAATACCCGAAGCACCCAAATAGGAGGGAGACTCAGAGTTATACGACTCTAGCTCTCTACTGGCAAGGGAGTTGCAGCTGCACCCATGGCCGATCGGATACAAACCGCACATCCCAGCTTTTGATGGAAACGCTAATCCAAGAAAATTCATCGCAAGCTATGAAACTATCGTATCTTCGGCTGATGGGGATGCGCAAATCATGGCAAAATCACTCATAATGGCAGTTGAAGATATCGCGCACGATTGGTACACATCACTCAAGCCACTGTCGATTAACTCATGGTAGCAATTAAAAGCAGAGTTACTGGCAACTTTCCAAGGCTACCAGCCCGGCGCGAAAACCACGAGAGATCTGTTGAACTGCATCTAGCGAAATTATGAGTCGTTATCAGAATACCTAGAAAGGTTCATCCAAGTCAAGGCCCAAGTGTTGAATGTGCTGGAAGCAACTGTAATTGCAACAGCAATTGAAGGGTTAGCCATAGGGTAGTGCGCCACCAAGCTATCTAGGAAGCCGCCCGCAACAGTCTAGGAGCTATTCAAAATAATGGGCCAGTATGCCAAATCAGACGATGATTTTAAACAACAAAAAGCTAAGTGCAGTTAGCTAGGGCAAACCCCAAAAGTACCAAGGCCACCCCAGACACCCACCTAGCGAAATGTAAGGCCTTATCGTGTGGTCAATAGTTTGTAGGAAGATTCAGGACAGTCGGTGCCACAACAGCCTCAGCCTAGAGAGCCATTTTTCATCCCAAATTGCCCCTTCGATCCAAGCTCACGGGGGGCGGGGCGGACATGGGGCGAGAGGAGGACGTGATAACAGAGGAAGAGGCAGAGGCCAAAGATCACCATATTACGTAGTATGCGGCAAAAATGCTGGGCATATAACCAGAGAGTGCAAGTATAATAAGATGGCAAAAGAACTTAAGGAGAAGGATGAAGCGGAGCAGGAGCACCAAAGCACCAAAGCACATTTATCACAATGCCTCGCGTGTCAATAACATGCATAGCCAGTATTATGGTAGTCAGCCTCACTACTCGCCAAGGTATGGCCTGGTGCCACAGCAAACATTTTCACAAAGCCAAGCTCAGTCCCCTTTCGCTTGGCATCATTAGGTGTACCAGCCCTATCAGTAATTGCCTCAATATCCGCTTTAGTCAGTGGTGGTGTCCTCATCAGTACAGCCAGAGCAGCAGCAATCATGTCAGCAGCAGCAAGCAAAGCAGGAAAACGCACATGAAAACCAAGCCGTAAATAGCATACTCCCATCACGAGGCCACATTTTTGCCATAACAGCCGAGTCCAACCAAGAGCATGAAAGCAAAAGAGCTAGAAGAGATTACGAGTGAAGGGTACACACCGTGTCACCAAGACTACCTCTGAATTGGCCAGCTTGGCCATTGGTCCCAATCACTTTCGATGAAAATGACTTCCAACTACGAGACTACCCCTATTCCAATGCCTTCGTCGCAATGGCAAATGTAGCCGAATTCACCTTGCACAACATCCTGATAAATACCAGCAGTTTGATAGACATTCTATTCATAAAAGCTTTCAAATCAATGGGCCTAGATAGGCGAACACTGGAGCTAGTAGGCAACTCATTATTAGGATTCAGCGGAAAGAAGATAGATGCTCTGGGCAAGAAGGCCATCCCGGTTTCATTCGAGGAAGGCAAAAGGGTCCGCATAAAGACCATCACCTTTGATGTGGTCAACATGGATTACCCTTACAGTACTATCTTCGGTAGAGGTTTCACCAACCAATTCGAAGTAGTAGTCAAGTAGAGCTATCTATGCATGAAATTGCCATCTCCTTTTGTGGTAATCACGGTGCACGGGGATCAGCTCGCTTCAAGGTGAATAGAAGGCAAACCCATCCTAGGATACAGCCTCATTAATGAGGTCACTAAGAAGAAGCAAGAGGAAGAGCAAAACCGTGAAAAGACCATGGCGTCAAGAGCAGAAGCAGCAGAGGATACCGAAAAGACACCATTGTCCAAGTCCATGACCGATAAGTGCATTCATATCGGCACGGAGCTAGCAACACAAGACAAGCAAGAGCTCATAGAACTTTTACATGAGAATAGCGACATTTTTGCATGGTCGGCAAGCAACCTCCAAGGAGTCAGCAGGGACTTGGCATAGCACAACTTAAATGTGGCAAAAAACATGAAACTGCTGAAAGCATCTAGACCCCTAGTTGGGTTTCAGTGATTAATGACAATACATGATTACTATGACTAACGTGTGTTTTGCAGAGGCAATTAAGTTAGGTCATGGTAATGGAGATCGATTGGGCAATCATGGTGGTCATGCCCCTACAATGGAAATCGTTTCGGTTTTCAAAGGATGGATGACAAGGTTAAGGATGGATAAGTTCTAAGTGTCGTTTGGAGTTGAAGAGACACTTAGAGTAGTTTAGGACTTTGTTTTTCCTTTGGCCATACTATTAAGGGGGGTATGGATGGGTAGCTTGACCTAGGTGAGTCTAGTGAGTTAGGTGTGGTGCACACTTGCTAAATCTAGCACTAGGTAGCTCCAAAAGAGCCCTTAAATCCAATGGAGCAAACTTCATTCACGTATGATCGAGAGTTGGAAGTGAATGGAGGGTCAAATACTGACTGGACGCTGGCTTCGGGGTGACCGAACGCTGGCGTAGAGTCCGGTCAGTTCATTTGATTGAGGTGATTTCGTCTGGCGTGACCGGACGCTGAGAGGTGAAGTCACCGGACACTAAGAGCCAGCGTCCGGTCGACTCCAGTAAGGTTCTAGAGAGGGAAAATCACGACCGGACGCGTCCAGTCACATTTTAAACACTGGAGTTCAAGATGAACTGACCGGAGCGTCCGGTCAACATGACCGGAGCATCCGATCACCCCACAGAGGCACATAATGGTTCGTTTTTTAGCCAGTGTTATAAATACCACCTCCACTCATGTGTGGGGGTACTTTTGCTCATTCCAACAGCTGAGAAACACCTTTAAGAGTGCTAAGAAGAGCAAGGTCCTAGTGAGGTGATTGAGGTTTGGGAATCCCAAAGAGAGCCCTCATTAGTGAGATCAAGAGTAGCAAAGTGTGCATCCACCCTTCTCATTAGGCTTGTCGTGGTCAAGTGAGAGTCCGTGCTTGTTACTCTTGGTGATCGCCATCACCCAGACAGCTTGGTGGTGATTGGGAGCTTGGTGATCATCCGGCGGACCTTGTGGATGACCTAACTCTAGTTGTGAGCGGTTCTGGGTGATTCACCGCTACGGAGTGTCGAAGAATCAACCCGTAGAGAGCACTTGATCCTTGCGTGGATCAAGGGAGAGCTACACCCTTGCGTGGGTGCTCCAACGAGGACTAGTGGGGAGTGGCGACTCTCCGATACCTCGGCAAAACATCACCGCGTTCCTCCTTCTCTCTTTACTTTGAGCATTTACTTTGAGCAATTCAATTCTTGTCATTTACATTCATAGAATTGCCATGCTAGAGTAGGATTGGAACTTAGGTTCCTAAACTTTTGTGCGTTAGATCAATAGAAACACTTTCTAGGCACAAGGGGTTAATTGGGTTAACCGTAGGGTTAATTATTGCAAAGAAATTTAGAATTACCCCAATTCACCCCCCCTCTTGGGCATCTTGATCCTTTCAATTGGTATCGGAGCCTCGTGCTCACGTATTTAGGTTTAACCACCTATTGAAAGATGTCTTACGGGGATGGACCTCCTCCTATCTTTGAGGTGGATGATTTTCCATATCGAAAAATCCACATGGAGGCGTATCTAGAAGCTCTAGATGTTGGAATACTTAGAGCCGCCTCACAAAGCTTCCGAAAACATAAGGATGCTACACACCTTCAAGGCGATGTGGTGAATTATGAAAAATGGAATGCAACGACTCAAAACACTATCTTTAGAGGCCTTTGCAAAGATGTGTTCAATTGGATGAGGAACCACAAAGACGCCCATGCACTATGGTTGGACGTTTGTGCGCTCTATGAGGGAACAAAGAGTGAGCATGAGGAATGCTATCATCTTGTCATAAAAAAGCTTAACTCTTTTGAAATGCTTCCTAAAGAATGTACTAATGAAATGTATTCTCATTTGAATGTTCTTGTAGAGGAAGTCAATGGGCTTGGACTTACTCAAATGCAACCATCCGATGTTGTAAGAAAGATCTTGAGTGTCCTCCCCATGACAAATATGGGCATATTGTGACCTGTGCTTCATCAAGGTGATCTTTCCACCGCAACACCGACACAAATCTTGGGAAAGATCAATGCTCATGAGATGTACATGCACATCACACCACAAGATGGCTCATCCTCTACTAAGAAGAAAGACAAGGACTTAGCATTCAAAGCTAGTCAAGAGAAGGTCAAAGCAAGGCTTGAGTATGAGAGCTCAAGTGATGATGAGATTGATGATGCAAGCCTTGCTCTCATGGTGAAAAGAACTACCAAGATGCTCAACAAGAGTGGCATCAAGTTTGATGGCAAGAAAAGTTCTTCACAAGCTCTAGAAGGAAGCCAATCTTCAAGATGGATTGCTATAATTGTGGAGAACTTGGTCATCTAGCTCACCAATGCACAAAGCCCAAGAAAGACAAGTTCAAGAACAAGAACAAGGGCAAAAAAGATGATTCAAGTGATGAAGATGAGAAGAAGAAAGATAAGCCATACAAAAAGAAAGATGGCAAGAAGAGAGACTTCCACAAGAAGAAGAAAAGTGGGAAGGCATATATTGTCGGTGATTGGCTCACGGATATTGATTCATCAAGTGGCTCATCCGATGATGATAGTGACAATGAGAAGGTGGCCGCCATTGTTATTGACTCTTCATCATCTTCACCGCCACCACCGCCATCATCCTCTACACACCTATGCCTTATGGCCAAGGGTGATCGCAAGGTATCAAATGATGATAGTAGTGGTGATGAACATGCTAGCAATGATGATAGCGATAGTGATGATGATGAATATGAATCTCCTTCTTATGATGATCTTGTTAAATTGCTAAATCAATACACTAAGATCATTAGAAAGAGTAGAGCTAAGAATGAAAAACTAGAAGCTAAGAATGATTCTCTTTTAGCTAAATGTGATGTAATAGAAAAGGCTAATGTTTAGCTTAGAGAATCAAATGATGCTATGCTATCCAAACTTAAGGAGCTCAAATCATCACTAGCCACAACATGCTAAAAGATGAATATACTACTCTTAAGATTAATCATGATAATCTTGTTATTGCTCAAGAATATTTATCCAATGAGCCACATGATGCTACTAACAATGTTGTTAAGATTGATATAGCTACATCATGTGATGATTTGATCATTGAGAGCATTGAGCAAAGTTCTAGTAGCAAGGGCAAGCAAGTGGTTGAGGCCGATGATTATGATGAGTTTGTCAAGCTCAAGAATGACAATGAAAAGCTCAAGAAAGATCTTGAAGAGATCAAAAGCCACAACACTATTGTGCTAGAAACTCTTGATCATGATGGTGAGTTGATGCTTGAGAATGAGAAGCTCAGAGAAGAAAACAAGAAGCTCAAGGAAGAGAAAAACAATGATGCACTCAAGGAAGAGAACAAGAAGCTCAAGTTGGAAAAGAGAATCTCAAGATTGGATTGAGCAAGTTCACAAGAGGCAAGCATCTTCAAAGTGAGCTACTAATGAACACCGTCATGAAGATGGATAGAAGTGGCATTGGGTACTTGGCAAACCAAGAGAAGAAGGCACAAACTCAACAACAACACAAGTCAAAGCCAAAGCCAAAGAGATGTTTTGAGTGTGGACAAGAAGGGCACTTTGCCCATGAGTGCCAAACTCCACCACCACAACCCTTGCCCAAGCATGCTGACCTTTTGCCTTCAATGCTCACTACATGCTTAGAAAGAATTTTAGTAGGAAAATGAAAGTCATGTTCTTAGGACCTCCTAACAAGAATAGGCCTAAGAAAATTTGGGTTGCAAAGTCACTTGTTGAGAAGGTGAAGGGCCCTCAACAAGTTTGGGTTCCTAAAGCTTGATCTCTTGTGTGTAGGTGAACTACAAGACCGGTGGAAGTTATTAGGTTATTGATAGTGGTTGCACACAACATATGACCGGTAATCCTCGTATGTTCACCTCACTAGATGAAGAAGTAGATGGACAAGAAAGAATCACATTTAGAGAAAATTCAAAGGGCAAGGTTAAATGATTGGACAAAGTGGCAATATCAAATGATCATTCAATCTTAAATGTGCTATATGTTGCTTCATTGAGCTTCAACTTGCTATCCATTGGACAATTGTGTGATCTTGGCTTCCAATGCTTGTTTACCAAGAAGGAAGTTGTTGTATCTAAGAAGGATGATGATCAAGTGATATTCAAAGGATTTAGATACAACAACCTATATCTAGTGGACTTCACCTCCGAAGAAGCAAATTTGAAGACTTGCCTATTCACCAAAACAACTCTTGGGTGGCTATGGCATAGAAGACTTGCTCATATTGGGATGAGCTCACTCAAGAAGCTAATGAAGAATGATTTGGTGAGAGGGTTGAAGGATGTTAAGTTTGAGAAAGACAAGCTTTGTAGTGCATGTCAAGCCGGCAAGCAAGTTGCAAATACTCATCCAACCAAAGCTTTCATGTCAACCACAAGAGTGCTAGAACTCCTTCACATGGACTTATTTGGACCAACAACAAACAAGAGTTTGGGAGGAAATCTTTATTGTCTTGTGATTGTTGATGACTATTCAAGGTATACATGGGTATTCTTCCTTCATGACAAATCCAAAGTTGCATCTTGCTTCAAGAAGTT